CAAAGACCCGACGAGAGTAAAAGACAACCTAACCACTGTCATAAGTTACGTTTGGCTAAATGCAATTACTCTTGTCCTGGGTGTTCCAACACCAGCCAAGTGTATTTTTTACACTTAGCTACACACACACACACAGACACATATACCTTTAATATATATATGTATATATATAAATGGTAAGGAAGCAAGGCAATTAAATACAAGGGCATTGAAAAACTACAGAAGTAACGAAACACCAGAGAGCAGAGAGAGATACCAGAGGGCCAGAAGTGGGTACTTCAAAGAAGAGAGAAACTCTTCTTTTTTTTTGTTTTGAGAAATTTTTGAGAAAATTTTGAAGAAAATTACATAGCAAGTAAAACCAAGACCTAACCCAATTGTTCCACAGCCACATTAAGAGAATAAATCAGTGAAAGAACAGGGAATGAAACTGATGAAGGGGAAGGACTAGTACATTGAGAATGATAAGATGATTTGTAAAGAAATCACCAAGAGATTCCTGGAGGTCGTCATAATAGAGCAAAGAGACGTCCCTGAACTATGAAAGGAAAGGTGGCAGTAAAAAAAGCAACTTGTGAAAATTTTGAAATTACCAGAGAGGAGGTTAAAGGTATCTGCTGGAACTGGACCTAATACTGTTGCGGCATACAGAATCTCACCATGGATACCAACAGAGACTCCAGAAGCACTGTACCTGCCACAATATGATGTGTATTAGGTCACCAGAAACATTGAGACCGACCAGAAAACTAGAAGACAGTTAACGTAGTCTCAGTACACTAAAAGGGTGACAGGCAAAGAAGGGGGGGGGACTCCTGCCTGACACCCTTTTTTCTCGCGATCTTTTCCATCACCTTGCATGATATACAAGTCACGAACGAGTGTCCCTAACTTGTATACCACGCGAGGTAATGGAAAAAATCTCGAGGAAGAAGCTAGTAGCACATCTGGCGAGTATAAACTTTGTAACGCAACACCAACATTCGTTCAGGGATGGTAAATCGTACCTTACAGATTTAATATAATTCTATGACCAGGCAACAAAAATTAGGCAAGAAAGAGAAGGATGGGCAGACTGCATTTCTTGAACTATGAAGAACGTCTTTGACATTGGCTGTTTAATAAGTTGAAGAAACAGGCAGGATAACAGGTAAGATGCTTCTGTAGATAAGTAACAGAAAAGAGCGGGTTACTGAATGAGGAGAGATCTCAGAATGGCGAGATATCACCAGCGGAGTCCCACAGGGTTCATTACTCGGATCTATCCAGTTTCCGATGGAGGTAAACGATCTTCCAGCGGGTTTACACTGATTTCTCTCAATGTTTGCTGATGGTTTGTTTTATTATTTTAACTCTTTTTAGATACATCTACATATATGCAGCTACGCTAGATTATAGGAAGAGGAGTACAGAGTGTGTCAAGAACTAATTACGTGATGCTAAAAATTTCCATCACACAGAATGGAGTCATACCTAGTTGTAGTGCAGCTAGTTCTGTTTGTGTAGAGGTCAGCCAGTTGTTTAACATGACACGGATTGTGCGCAAGTATTGTTTCTATAAAACCTACATGCTGCTGCAGTCCGTCTTGTTGACGATTGGAGTGAGCCATCGGTGTAGACGCTCTTCATGAGATCTTTGGTTTTTGAAGGAAGGGACAATTGTTTCGTGTGACAGCTTTGCGAAGGGCAAGATTCTCATTATCTTAGTGACGCTATAATTATTAGAAGGATTAATACACAGGAAGATAGGAAGAGACTACCAGATTACCTGGACACAACTGAAGGAATGCTCCAATAAACGGCTAATAGAGTTTGTCTCAAGAAAGCGTAAGTTAAAGAAAATATGCGGAGGGAGCAGGAGACCGGACACACGGTACCAATTGGGGGAGGAACATTTTCAAGAACCAGAGAAAAAGCTCTGAGGACTGACATCATACCTACATACCGAACATGTCCGCTGAAACTTACATCAAATGAATATCATCAGCGGCATATGGCGAGGTTAACAAACATAAGAAATGCCTTTAGAAACTTGTGTATTTTAGACACCATCATCCTCCCATCTTACTCATCTCCTGCTCTCACTCATCCTCTGGTCTCACTCCCTCCACTCATCCTCATATTACCTCCGGAGCTAAACAATTAAATTGTGATTTTATCTCTCTCTCTCTCTCTCTCTCTCTCTCTCTCTCTCTCTCTCTCTCTCTCTCTCTCTCTCTCTCTCTCTCTCTCTCTCTCTCTCTCTCTCTCTCTCTCTCGCACACACACACACACACACACACAGACTGTGTGTATGTGTGTGTGTGTGTGTGTGTGTGTGTGTGTGTGTGTGTGTGTATCCCCCCCCCCTCCCTGAATCACGATTCACCATAACACTGTTCTCCTTACGAGATCTGTAACTTTTATCTCACCATCATTAGTCATCACTATCACTATCATATTCACCATTTTCAAACATCAGTCACTTATTACCACTATCTTCATCACTCTCAGATAGAGCTCGACAATCAATGTGATTTTCTTCCCCCCCCCTTTAGAGGTCTTATTGCAAGACCTCTAAAGTCTATAGAGTCCTTTATAGAGCATATTGCAAGTGCAGCAACACATGGCATGCTTGCAACCCGTTCTGAGTGATCTAGGTGTCTCTTCTGGTCTTCCGCTCTCAGTAAGAGGCGAGCTGGGAGAGAGAGCGCTCAATTGAGAGCCACTTAACCGAGAAGTGTAATTAGGTCTAATAATGAGTTTTCTGCGCGTCTGGTCGTGCAGCATGATGCTGTCTCGTGCTGTGGTGGTGCAGCATGATGCTGTCTCGTGCTGTGGTGGTGCAGCGTGATGGTGTCTCGTGCTGTGGTGGTGCAGCGTGATGGTGTCTCGTGCTGTGCTGGTGCAGCATGATGCTGTCTCGTGCTGTGGTGGTGCAGCATGATGCTGTCTCGTGTTGTGGTGGTGCAGCGTGATGGTGTCTCGTGCTGTGGTGGTGCAGCATGAAGCTGTCTCGTGCTGTGGTGGTGCAGCATGATGGTGTGTCGTGCTGTGGTGGTGCAGCATGATGGTGTCTCGTGCTGTGGTGGTGCAGCATGATGCTGTCTCGTGCTGTGGTGGTGGTGCAGCATGATGCAGTCTCGTGCTGTGGTGGTGCAGCATGATGGTGTGTCGTGCTGTGGTGGTGCAGCATGATGGTGTCTCGTGCTGTGGTGGTGCAGCATGATGCTGTCTCGTGCTGTGGTGGTGGTGCAGCATGATGGTGTCTCGTGCTGTGGTGGTGCAGCATGATGCTGTCTCGTGCTGTGGTGGTGGTGCAGCATGATGCTGTCTCGTGCTGTGGTGGTGGTGCAGCATGAAGCTGTCTCGTGCTGTGGTGGTGCAGCATGATGCTGTCTCGTGCTGTGGTGGTGGTGCAGCATGATGGTGTGTCGTGCTGTGGTGGTGCAGCGTGATGCTGTCTCGTGCTGTGGCGGTGCAGCATGATGCTGTCTCACTTGGACATTATGCTGTTCACCATACACTCCTCACTTGGCTACAGTCCTCTGTTAAGTGTGCTAGTTAGTGAGTTCAATATAAATAAATGTTACAATATCTGATTAGAACATCTCCGCCAGCGAGAACATTACCATATTGGACCATTGTTGTTCGGCGGTCCACGACTACGACTCATAATCGAAGCTCCCGGGTTCGATACCATGCCGGGATAGAAATCGCCGTCACGTTTCCTTTCCCCCTGATGGTTCTGTTCACCTAGTAATAATAAGTAGTGGGCTGTATCCTAGGGAAGGTCAGTGTCCTGACTTCAGACCAACTCCAATCAATCCTTAACCTCCTAAAATATATTAGGCTATTTTAGGCCTAATATAGTACATATATGTGGTATACTAAGCCTAGGAATGTTAAAGTTACTTTTACTATTTTTCAGCCCATCCTTCTGTTTACTACTTTTTGTAACTATGTGACCATTGTACATTCATGTTGTAATGGACAGTTAGATAGTAGAATTTGGTACTATTCACTATATAAGAGTCCGACAAAACTAAAATAAACAAACGTATATACTCCTAGGCCTAGTATAGCACATATAAGTATTATATTAGGCCTCAGATAGCGAGTATTAGGCCTGGGGAAAGTTAGATAAGGTTAGGTTCGATTTTCTTTGCCACATAAATACACAACTTTTCCGGTTTGTCCTAATTGAATAGTACCGATTTCTACTTCCTAATTGTCTTTTACGTGAATATATGTATGTTGGTTCTCACCGTTACTATGAGTACTACCTAACCAGAAGGATGGGTTGTTTTGGGGAGACTATGAAATTAAAAGTACAAAAAGTGAACTTTTTGATGGTCCACCACTTTATTTTGGTAGTACCAACCGAATAGTGACTATGAGTACTATCATTTCAGGAGGATAGGCAGGCTTCCTGGGAGGTGTTAGGGGCTATGACCCGTGTGTGATGGCTGGAGACTAGCCATAGTGTCTGTGTTCTGAGTGGCCTCTTGGAGGCTGTTCTGGCCTCTTGGAGGCTGTTCTGGCCTCTTGGAGACTGTTCTGGCCTCTTGGAGGCCGTTTTGGCCTCTTGGAGGCTGTTCTGGCCTCTTAGAGGCTGTTCTGGCCTCTTAGAGGCTGTTCTGGCCTCTAGGAGGCTGTTCTGGCCTCTAGGAGGCTGTTCTGGCCTCTAGGAGGCTGTTCTGGCCTCTTGGAGGCTGTTCTGGCCTCTAGGAGGCTGTTCTGGCCTCTAGGAGTCTGTTCTGGCCTCTTGGAGGCCGTTCTGGCCTCTTGGAGGCCGTTCTGGCCTCTTGGAGGCCGTTCTGGCCTCTTGGAGGCTCTTTCTGTGTGGCTTCTTGGAGGCTGTTCTGGCCTCTATGATAATGATCACTGCAGAAGCAGTCATTATCACCACTAGCGACACCACCCTTATCACCACCATGGCCGTCACCACCACCACTATCATCACAAGTCCTCCCCCCTTCAGTGCCAACTGACACCCGCCTGGCCTTCATCCTCCGCAGGTCACTCGCGGCAGGGCCTCAAGTGCCGCATGTGCAAGACCAACGTCCACGTGGAGTGCCAGGAGCAGGTGGGGAAGTGCCAACCCAAGTCTCGCCTCCTGCGACGCCAGCGGTCCACCTCTGAGATCGAGTCGAAGCAGCTGGAGGGCGGAGAGGATGACAGTAAGTACAGAGCCAGCTACTGGTTCCGCCCCGCTGGGTGGCTTTCACTCGTAGCTGTGGTGGTGTTGGCCTCGTGTGTGTGTGTGTGTGTGTGTGTGTGTGTGTGTGTGCGTGTGTGTGTGTGTGTGTGTGTGTGTGTGTGTGCGTGTGTGTGTGTGTGTGTGTGTGTGTGTGTGTGTCTGTGAGTAGCGGCATTAGTTCGTTAGTTCTGTGTTCTTATGTACATTTTCTTATGTTATTTTGATCTATTGTTCATACCTATAGACAATTTGTATATCCATTAGAGTGGGGAAATAGTCTATACTCATGTTTACCTGACAGGTACTGACAGGTAATTATGCCACTTTGCCACTTTTTGAAAGTGTTAGAATATCGTCAACAACTGCAGACTGTTACACAAGTGTTGTGAGAGGTCTTTGTGTTACAGCTGTGAGGATGAACGGCGGATGTTCGTGGGTGTGTATCAGGTGTGTGACAGGTGTGTGTAATAGGTGCGTGACAGGTGTGTAACCGTTGCTGTGAGAGTGTTGTTTGTGGCGTCCGTCACACTGGCCGCCCGCAGATGTGTGTTCTGCTTTCTCACTACAAGTGGTCCGTGCTTGTCCCTGGAGTGTACCGTGTTAGCCACGAGAATGTACCTGGGGTGGCTATGCTAAACTTGACTATGGGAACCAGTAAAGTGCACAATGGTGACGCGGAAAGTGCACCAGGATGGTGACCAAGGCACCACCAACAGAGATGAAGGTCACCACACTCTGTATGCAGGATAGTGTGTGCAGAAGGGGGCCACACACACACACACACGCTGGCTGAGGAGCTGGGGCCAGATTCACGAAGCAGTTATGCAAGCCCATACGAACCTTTACATCTTTTCTCAATCTTTGGCGGCTTTGTTTACAATTATTAAACAGTTAATGAGCTCCGAAGCACCTGGATGCTGTTTATAACAATAACGACAGTTGATTGGTAAGTTTTCATGCTTTAAACTGTTCACAAAATATATAACCAAAGGCGTCAAAGATTGGGGAAAGATGTATACATTCGTAAGTACTTGCGTAACTGCTTCGTGAATCCAGCCTCCTGACTCGTACCCTCCGTCACGTGTGACGGAGGGTACGAAGGGTACTTGATCAGTGTACGAATTAACAGGGCGTCAGTATAGTGTGTCCTGTAGCAGAAGATATTATTATATATCTCTCTCTGGCGAGAACAAGTCACGTATTATTGTTCTCCTGGCGATGCTGAAGAACGGTATCCGTCCACTGAGTCTCCTCTCTTAAGGGTGACGGTTCGAACACCCTCTGTCTTGAACCCCTGTCTTGTTCTGTCTATCATGTTAAACCCTCATTTTTTCGATACGTTCCTTTTGTTAAAGGTCATATGGAATAAAGGCTCAAAATCTATACACTTTGGCTATTTTATAGAAATTGAACTTTTCTAAAAATTATTAGTTTACGTAAAAAAAAGTTTGCCTTATCGTAATTTTCCGAGACGTTTGAGTTTCCCGATGTTAACAAACGGCTATCGTTTGTTTTTGTGTATTGCATAAAACGCTTCGAACTTTGCTACCAACACAAATTTATTTGCTAAAGTGTCACAATAAAGCTCATATTTGGCCATTTCTCACCAGTCAATAAACTTTATTACTTGGCGTTACATAAACGTCTCAGACAAACACTAAGACAACTACACATAAAGTGAGAAGCAAACGTGTTGTACCTGACCGGTGGATAAGCGTTGATGTTGGTTTCAGTAATGTTGTGCCCAATGTGTTTAACAACTTTGTCAACGCTCTCAGTGGAACTCTTATTTGGTCTGTAACTCTGCGGTGTGATAAATAATGTCCCTGTGATCTGCTTGGCATTTCTCCACAATGCTGACATTTCCTCTCCTCGTCTGGAACCTGCAAATCTGTTTCCCATTCTCACGGTCTCACTTCATGCAGGTCGGCGTTCAATCCCCGACCGTCCAAGTGGGTTTCCCGTGATAGTTCCATTCCCCACCCTTCCCATGCCCATGGGTATCCTAACCTGATGTGGTGTAAGTGGACGGTGGACTGATGTTACTGACCAGATGTTCGCATTGCACGAAGAGAACAAATTCGACGTTCTTATCACCCGAAATACGCAAATATATGCTACTCATTTTGGCACTAGGCTGGTGACGAACACATACTAACACTAGTTTAAAACCCTTTTTGAATGGTTGGGCAGGAAGGTACAATAGCAGTCAACAAAACGTGCAGTACCACCATGAGAACTTCAAAGTTGCAATGGTTTGTTTACAAACTGTCACCGGTTATGTCACGCGCGATTCTTACTGTCAAAATATTGCGGGAAAAGTTCAACGGTGTCTGGATTCCAGAGCATTAACGACATTTGAAACTATTACTGCCTTATTAAATTCGTTCTTTTTTCTCTGCTTAGAACAAATCAATTCTGTGGCTCCATTAAAATAGATCTGTAATATGATTGCATATGACCTTTAATAAACCTGAATGAAACCTTCGTTATTAAGACCATTATAAAGTCTTGCTCGAGAAGTCTTCCTTGTGAAGGCTTTCTTTTTATTGTCTTCAATTTACGACCTTTTCATCTCAAGACTCAGAACTTCCTTTGACTCAAACCTTCCTCGTTACGTCTTCTCTGGTAAGGTATTTTGAAGCTGTTCATTAAGCGTGGACAGTGTTAAACTCTCCCGAGTAACATGTTCCCTTTGCCACACAATGTGGCAGGTAAACCCTGCTTGTTAGTAAGAGACCCACCCTTTTAGTTACCTCATTAATAAGACTTGCATCTCAGGCCCTTGCCCCATCCCACCACACACAACGTTATTTGCGTTGTATCCATGTAGCAACGTTGTTACAACGCTGTGGTTGGGTTGTGTGCGCTGTGGGTGCAGTGTGGTGGTGGTGTTGTTGTCCTCCTTCAGGTGGTAACAGGTGATCTCCTCTTGCAGCCTGTCCTCACAGCAGAGCGCACCACTCTCTACCCTCTGGTCAGTTGGCACGTATTACCAGTAACTACTGTTCCCAACAATTTTAACATTAACTTCCATTAACCTGTGGGATAGAACTAAAACATTATTCTGTCAATTGATGCCGTGATTCTTGATAGACCAGGTGACTTCTCTCTTCAAGATAGCTCGATATCGTCTTGAGTACTGTGCACAATGGGACTATTTAACGGTGTTCAGACATGTCTTAAGCTTGAACCATGGTCTTAAGCTTGTAGTGATCAGCTTGGTCGCTGTGTGTGTGTGTGTGTCTTCAAAACACGGTTGTCTCTCACAGGGTTGTTACGAGTAGCCTTTGTTCTATTTCTTCAGAGGGAAAAACGAGAGAGACAATCCGTGTTTGGCCTCATGCTAATGGACTGACCTATGCTGAGTGTGGTGACCTAACATCCGTAGTGAGTAAGACAGCCACTAACGCATGATGGGGGTCACTCGACCCCCCCACACACACACACACACACACACACACACACACACACACACACACACACACACACACACACACACACACACACACACACACACACACACACACACACACACACACACACACACACACACACACACACACACACACACACACACACACACACACACACACACACACACACATACACACCCACACCCACACACACACACATACACATACACACACACACACACACACACACACACACACACACACACCTCAACAAGGCACCTATGAGGTCAACACCACGGTGCTTCTTTACACCGAATTCATTCATTATTTATGTATTATTTTTTTCCCTGAAATACAGCCTTATTCATGTTGTATAATGATATTGCCTTTGCTAATGCCCTGCTCCCCTTACATACACTCAACAGCTGTGCTAATTACATGTGGCTTACGCAACATTGTAGCGTGTGTTCCCACATAACAATGGCACACAAGTATCCCACAGAACAGTGACACATATGTCCCACACAACAATGACATGTGTGTCCCTCGTAGCACTGAAACGCGTGTCCCACACTACACTGGTGCACGTCAGCCAAGACTGAAGAACTTCCAGTCCCCTCACACCCAGTACATTACCTCTCAGTACAACACATCCAATAGATCACACCCAAAACATCACACCCGGTACCCCACACCCAGTTCCCTACACCCAGTGCATCACATTAAATACATCACATCCAGTAGATCTTACCCAGTACATCACATCCAGTTCTTCACACACAGTGCATCACATGTGACAGGTTGAAGAACAAGATGTTCTGGGTGTGAAGGAGTGGATGTACTGGGTGGTGTGGTGAGGGATTGGATGTACTAGGTACGAGAGACTTATTGTACAAGGTGTAATGATGGACTGGACGTACTGGGTGTGAGGGACTGGAGTCGAGCGTCACCCTAGCCTGCTGCTAGCTCACCCGGTTGTCAAGCAGGACACAGACGACCTAATAGGCTACCTATCAGTGCTAAACACCACAAGCACGTGACACCCAGCTGTTGTAGTGCAGTGTGCAGCAGTCTCCACACCTGCACACTGTTCTCTACAAGTTACAACACGGGTGTATTATAACTAAGACACCCATTATCCCGACACTTAGCCCATATACAGACACATGAACACATCAGCAGAGCCTTCACGTAAAGCCTAACCTTTCCCAAGAGGCCTAGATCATCAGGTATAATAAGATGCCCCGTCTCTTACAGCGGACCCCAGTGTCAACTTCACCTCTCTAATCGCCAGCCAGCCTTCAAGGCGAGGCGCTGAGCCTCCATCTCCCAGTGCGACTACCGAGATCCAAATAGGTACTTAGGGTCCTTGTTGGGCAGATGGAGATGTCCGCGTCCAAGATCCCTTGGGGGAGGGTCTTCCTGGGGCCCTGAGGGAGCCCCTAATTCGTTTTAAAGTTGCGCGCTCTACGCGAGTCTAGTTTAGCCTATGAATATATTCAGTTAGTTTGGTTTTAGCATGGTACTCCGTCAGTCTTGTCGTTTAGTTCGTTTGTTTTGTTATAGAGCGTGTAAAGCGAGCGTGTGGTAGTCCCCTCTTACGTTGTCTGTCGTGGTCCGTGTATTGTATAGCTCGTGAGACCTGTTTAGCGTCTTCATTAACACTCTGAGTTTGTTACGTTGTCCTTCGATCTCACCTAGATCAAGTTAGATTATGTTTATTTCAGTAGCGCTTAAAATAACCTACTGGCGGAGTATCCTAGAGGGAGACTCGGGACAAATTCTGTAAAGGAACTTTTAGGCAAGTTGTATAAACCCAATTGGCCCAGTCACAGAGCTAAACTAGACTCACCATGACCTCGGGAGGAGGAACACCTCCCGCTTCGTGTAGTGTACCCTGCATGCCCTATACCCTTGGCTGAGCCGAGTCCTTCACCAGTGGCGTCGCCAGTACCAGGAGACCTTGTGAACTAAAACCAACCTTCGCTTGTGAGGTAACAGGAAGGGAGTTAGTCAGAGTATTCCAACACACACAGCGTAACCACTGCCGTATATTGACGATGCAGAAATGTAAGGAAGTTGCTACGGCCGTGTGGTTACCTGGTGTGTTTGTTGGGATATGCATAAGGTTAACATGAGCTAATCTCATAGATGTTTGTAGAGATAAACGGACCGGTAGTCGAGCCAAGCGTCGAGAGGTTTGGTTTTATGACACATGTTCTTCTGCATAGCAAGAGCGAACGCATTTTCTGTTTTTAGCACACACTTCAGCATTTCTCTTAAGTGATGATATCGTTAGCGCTCTTAGGTTTTTTTCGAGATAGTAAGCCGAAGGTGAATTTTTAGGTCTTTGTCCTCGATTTTTTTTCTTTCCTTTTCTTGCAGAGTTTTTGTCCATGCAGAGCTGATACATTTTACTTCAGTGTTGGAGCGTAAGAGAAGCACTGTTAGTGTAGCATAAATTGGCCCTTCTGGAGAGCTATGTGTATCCCCTATGAAGAGGCACATTTTCTTTTCGCCTCGTGTCTAGCGCACCAAAACATTTTAGACTAGAGTAGGTTGTAGCGGGCGGGGCCGTGTCTTGCGTCCGGGCGTGGCAGCCTGTTTGGGCGCCCGCCCTAACCCAGCGCAGCCTAGGAGACTTGCCCCGTCCAGCAGGCTTCCCGCTGCACTCCCCAGCTACCCTACGTTCCCAGTTCCCCAGTTCTTCTCCCTTTTAGATACCAGGTTGCTGAATGCTTTCCTCTTCGTGCTAGACATAAATATATATATATATATATATATATATATATATATATATATATATATATATATATATATATATATATATATATATATATATATATAATATATATATATATATATATATATATATATATATATATATATATATATATATATATATATATATATATATATATATATATATGTATATATGTATGTACAGATATTTTTCGAATACATGCTTTTTTGGATTTTGAAAGAAAAATTTTTTATGCAAAAGTCTGCGGAGATGCGTAGCCATGTTTCACTAACTTATTAAAATATTCATGAGATATTTTTGTTGTATTCTTGAATTGATTTTGCTTTCTGGGCGATTTAAACTTTTGAATTAAGTAGTAACATCTTGTAATATAAGATAATGTCAGCAATGAATAATTTTTGGAGTAGTTATAGAAAAACAACTTTTTCAACTCACGCCTATAGACCAATGACTTTATATTAGAGGGGGGGAGGGGGTATAACGTCCCTTCACCACCCTCATCACAT